CCCAATGATAGGAGTAGACTAGGCGGACCTTTCAATAAAAGGAAGGTCTTCAAGCGCCTTCGTTGTTCTTGGCAAATCTACCGACTGATCATTTCATGAGGGCAATTCACTTGTCTCAATACAGTGCCAAGGAAGATTTGCGAAATAACGTAATACCTGCTTTAATTATTGGTGGATTTTTCAATCTATGTGATGCTCATTTACGGTGGTAGAAGTAAATCTATAATTTCAGATTCTCTTTTCGAGGAGGTGATAGGCCAGGTGGTGGAGCAAAGACTTGCAGTGATTTGTTTTTGGTAAAGGTAGAGGAGGATGTGTCTAGCTACGCTCAAATCTCCTGCATAGTGTACTTGGTGTCACTAATGAAAGACTGATGCCTGCCACAAACTTCAACCACATCGACAACAACTACGCATGAGGTATTAGTTGTAGCGATATTTCCCCATGCCATCAGTTGGGTCCACTCAATTCTTGCGCCTGAGCTACGAGTATTCGCTTTATTAGTGGTGAGGAGCAAGGGTAGCTCCACCCTATTCGGGTGTGTCGAAAAGTGACTTCAAAAAAAATATTGAATTACGGTAGACTTTTACGGAGTCCCTTCTATGTGCTCTAATTTGTCTCCTTAACCAAACGCATTCGCAGTTGACTGCGATCACTGCTGACACAAGCACTTCAAATGCGTGGCTCTGTGCAGCCAATCAAGACGCGACTCGTCTGGTACCCACTCCTACCTTTCGCCAGCCCTCGGGTGGCTCCACCCGATTCGGGTGTGATGGAGACGCCTTTGTAAAGAAAGTGCGATAATTGCTGTATGGGAATGCATTCTATTTGTGTAAGCCTCCTGGTTACATTTTCTTCACCTGTACGATTATAACGCTTCTCATTACGCTCTGATCTACGCCATTCATATGAGGCATGATGGCAAGTGGTCAGTGTGAGACGATCTCACCAGCCTTTGTTGAGGCAAGATCTCACTTAAACAACTCCTTTTCGTTTACTGCTTTTGCCACCAGTCTAGAAGAGTTTTCCACCTGTTTCAGCCATTTCCCTATTTTTTCGTCTAGTCACCTAATTAGGCCCCGACAGTCAAAAATTATTAATGAGGCTGCAAACCGTGTTACAATCCTTATCTGGCATGCATTGAATGTGGATAATGAAATGAATGTACACTGGCTTCCGTTTTCCGTCCTGTTTCACCTCACATCATTACATATTCACATGTGCTGTCAGGGTGCCTACTCTACTTGATCATTTGGGCTGCTCGTGTAAAATGCTAATCAAAATGGATAATTCAACCGCCCTTTGCAGTCTTTCGTATTCGGGTAAAATGTCTTCTTTAATAATGCCGATCTCCCTCTAATTATTTGTTAGATTGGCAGCTGAAGAGATAGTGAGTCGGGTAAGAAGAGAGGCTATGGGAGACCTCAGTTAGTGACGCATTTGTCATTTGGCCGTGGAATGCGAAACCACCCAAAGCGTCAACCTGAATGATCAAAACGGCAAGTATTTTGGAGTGATTGCTTTTATGTAGTCAGAGGGTCGTTAAAAATGTAGTAAGCCATACTCTTTTGTTGTGGCAAAGTGAAGTGATTGCTGGCGTGGTGTTAGTAGTCTTCGTGAGCTAGTGCCAAGTCATGGATAAACGAGAATAGAAGGGCGTTGGAACCGTCAGTAGAAAGACGAGTGCACGAAGGCTTTAATGTGTTCCAATCTGCGTAGTCGCCAAAACGCAGGACTAGTTACAGTTCACAAGAGGCTGCAGATGGCGTTGGATAGGCACGTCTAGAATTTTGTAATGGCGTGTTTTGCAGGGCCGATTAAAGGGTAGGTGATTTGATTTGCGTTTCTATCCATTTCATATTTCATGGTTCTGCCCTCACAAACCGAGTTTCTTTGTCGCCAATAAAAAGGCTTTACACGTTCTCAAACATTTTGTGCATTTGTTCGTATCCCTCCTTCGTCTCCTATTTTTCGGCCCAATGATAGGAGTAGACTAGGCGGACCTTTCAATAAAAGGAAGGTCTTCAAGCGCCTTCGTTGTTCTTGGCAAATCTACCGACTGATCATTTCATGAGGGCAATTCACTTGTCTCAATACAGTGCCAAGGAAGATTTGCGAAATAACGTAATACCTGCTTTAATTATTGGTGGATTTTTCAATCTATGTGATGCTCATTTACGGTGGTAGAAGTAAATCTATAATTTCAGATTCTCTTTTCGAGGAGGTGATAGGCCAGGTGGTGGAGCAAAGACTTGCAGTGATTTGTTTTTGGTAAAGGTAGAGGAGGATGTGTCTAGCTACGCTCAAATCTCCTGCATAGTGTACTTGGTGTCACTAATGAAAGACTGATGCCTGCCACAAACTTCAACCACATCGACAACAACTACGCATGAGGTATTAGTTGTAGCGATATTTCCCCATGCCATCAGTTGGGTCCACTCAATTCTTGCGCCTGAGCTACGAGTATTCGCTTTATTAGTGGTGAGGAGCAAGGGTAGCTCCACCCTATTCGGGTGTGTCGAAAAGTGACTTCAAAAAAAATATTGAATTACGGTAGACTTTTACGGAGTCCCTTCTATGTGCTCTAATTTGTCTCCTTAACCAAACGCATTCGCAGTTGACTGCGATCACTGCTGACACAAGCACTTCAAATGCGTGGCTCTGTGCAGCCAATCAAGACGCGACTCGTCTGGTACCCACTCCTACCTTTCGCCAGCCCTCGGGTGGCTCCACCCGATTCGGGTGTGATGGAGACGCCTTTGTAAAGAAAGTGCGATAATTGCTGTATGGGAATGCATTCTATTTGTGTAAGCCTCCTGGTTACATTTTCTTCACCTGTACGATTATAACGCTTCTCATTACGCTCTGATCTACGCCATTCATATGAGGCATGATGGCAAGTGGTCAGTGTGAGACGATCTCACCAGCCTTTGTTGAGGCAAGATCTCACTTAAACAACTCCTTTTCGTTTACTGCTTTTGCCACCAGTCTAGAAGAGTTTTCCACCTGTTTCAGCCATTTCCCTATTTTTTCGTCTAGTCACCTAATTAGGCCCCGACAGTCAAAAATTATTAATGAGGCTGCAAACCGTGTTACAATCCTTATCTGGCATGCATTGAATGTGGATAATGAAATGAATGTACACTGGCTTCCGTTTTCCGTCCTGTTTCACCTCACATCATTACATATTCACATGTGCTGTCAGGGTGCCTACTCTACTTGATCATTTGGGCTGCTCGTGTAAAATGCTAATCAAAATGGATAATTCAACCGCCCTTTGCAGTCTTTCGTATTCGGGTAAAATGTCTTCTTTAATAATGCCGATCTCCCTCTAATTATTTGTTAGATTGGCAGCTGAAGAGATAGTGAGTCGGGTAAGAAGAGAGGCTATGGGAGACCTCAGTTAGTGACGCATTTGTCATTTGGCCGTGGAATGCGAAACCACCCAAAGCGTCAACCTGAATGATCAAAACGGCAAGTATTTTGGAGTGATTGCTTTTATGTAGTCAGAGGGTCGTTAAAAATGTAGTAAGCCATACTCTTTTGTTGTGGCAAAGTGAAGTGATTGCTGGCGTGGTGTTAGTAGTCTTCGTGAGCTAGTGCCAAGTCATGGATAAACGAGAATAGAAGGGCGTTGGAACCGTCAGTAGAAAGACGAGTGCACGAAGGCTTTAATGTGTTCCAATCTGCGTAGTCGCCAAAACGCAGGACTAGTTACAGTTCACAAGAGGCTGCAGATGGCGTTGGATAGGCACGTCTAGAATTTTGTAATGGCGTGTTTTGCAGGGCCGATTAAAGGGTAGGTGATTTGATTTGCGTTTCTATCCATTTCATATTTCATGGTTCTGCCCTCACAAACCGAGTTTCTTTGTCGCCAATAAAAAGGCTTTACACGTTCTCAAACATTTTGTGCATTTGTTCGTATCCCTCCTTCGTCTCCTATTTTTCGGTGTCCGCCCAATTCATTACCCCCTCACATGTCGCAAACATATTTTGTCGATGCGCCTCTGACATCTTCTCCTTCATTTCCCCGTTCTTCATTTTTCTCTCTATGTTGTAACTGTAGTGATTTTATTGCTC